TATTCACATGCGATAATGGCAACTGTATACCTAGAATTTATATTTGCGACGGTGATAATGATTGTCTGGACAACAGTGATGAGGATAGCAGGCATCAGTGCAGTAAGTTTAAAAAAAAATTTTGGTATATAACGGAAGTTTACGTATTTTAATTTGCTTTTACCCAATTTCTAGACGACCGCAAATGTGATGAGGAGACGGAATTCACTTGCTTGGAAAATAAAGCTTGGGGTCGTGCACAATGCATACCGAAGAAATGGATATGTGACGGCGATCCGGACTGTGTGGATGGCGCTGACGAAAACACAACATTACATAACTGCGCCACTCAACAACCCTGCGGCGAAGACATGTTCACTTGCGACAATGGCCGGTGCATCAATAAGGTAAACGACCGTTTAGTATTTTACGTGATTAGACATTTGTAAACGCGTTCCACTTTCCTTTTCGTAGGGCTGGACTTGCGATCACGACAACGATTGCGGTGACGGCTCTGATGAGGGTAAGTTCTGCAGCTCTAAATACAAAAGTTGCTCGGATCAGGAGTTCACGTGTCAGAACTTCAAGTGCATACGGAATCAATACCGCTGCGATGGCGAGGATGATTGTGGTGATCACTCCGATGAAGTGGGTTGTAAGAAGGATAACACAACATGTCCGAATGGGCAATTTACCTGCACGAATGGCCAATGTATTGACTATCATTTGGTGTGCAACAAAGTCCCCGACTGTGCCGATGAGTCAGATGAGCCAGCGCATTGTAATGTAGACGAATGTGCAAAGGTTGAGATACATCAGTGCGGACACAAGTGCGTAGATACGTTGACGAGCTACTACTGCGACTGCAATCAAGGCTACAAGTGAGTATACCCCTAAATTAAGCGTCAAGTAATTAAACTTATAATTAATTTCACCGCTTTCTACAGACTCATGCCCGACGGCAAGGCCTGCGCTGATATTGACGAGTGTCTTGAGCTCCCAGGCGCCTGCTCGCAACATTGTTCCAATA